ACGAAATCATTCATGACAAGCCAAAATAATAAAATGATTCCTAGACTTCTCCCATTAGAAATGCCACAGGTCAGGATTGAATTCTTATAGACCAAAAACTAATGGAAAAAGTTGAAAGAGAGTGTCTTTTAAACCAGCAACTCTTGCAAGACCAGCCAATAATATAATAACCAGCAACTCTCGTTTTCTAAGTTCCGAAAAAACCAGCAAAACAGTGGTAAAGAGGTCATATTCAAAACACATTTTTGATCAAACCAAACGTCTGATTTGCAAGTCGTCAAGATCAGTGTATAGTAGGACAAACAGAGAAGAGTTTTATGCAAGGAAATCAGGAAAAGGAGTTCAACAAACAGGAGAAAAAGGATCACAAAAAGAGCATTTTAGAACCAAAAAATTCAGAAAATACAGAATTATATTGGTCCTGCTCAAAACTAAATTTTGGACAAACCGTAACTCCATTTAGCAATCTGTCAAAACCAAGATAAACTACATCCAATGTACCAGAGATTTATCAAAAGAAATTTCATAAAATAGTTCAAGAGATATGAGAAACAAATCTTCAAAAATAGTCAAACAAATAAAAAATTCAGCAACTAAACTTGTCATATTCAAATAGAGTTTCTGGACAAACCAAAAGTCTTTTGAAATTTGTCAAACAGAAAGAAACTATATTAAACGAAGAAGAGACTGATAAGAAGAAATCTTGGAGAAGGGCTGAAAGAATAGGACAAACAACCTTCTAAACAACGGAACTCGAATATGATTTTCTGCACTTTCAGAGCCACTTAGTATACATGCTCTATTCTGAGTAGAGTTTCAAGAGATTCACATAGCCATTTAATGGACCATGAATACCATAAATGGAGGAAAGTATAGTAAAGAGATTCAAGTAAATATAGTAAAGAGATTCAAGTATAGGAACTCAGAAGTTGTTAAAATGGAGGAAAGTAAGAGTCAGTCCAAAAGAGCAGATGCACAAACATTTCGAAGATACAGAAATAGTTGTACATATGATAGAAAGAATATCTGAATCACTGTCTGTTTTCTCAAAAGAGCGAGCAACAAAAAGATTAAGCACGTAGTTAGGTTACACTTCTGATGCCCAGTTCTAACAATTAGCTCATGGGAATACGGATATTGAATCAGATGCACTATAAACAGAGCAAAGTTTCTGATCCTATACAACTGGAGAAACTATATACACGTGAACCTATTCACATTGGATACACAAGCTCAATAGGAAGGATAATTAGTACAAAAAACTGGACAAAGAAATTCAGTCAAGAACTTACTTCAGATCGTACTAGTTTGCTAGTTTCCTTCACTAGAACTTCCCGGCAAATCAATCCATTTTAAATTCTATGCCTAGGAATCTCCTCAAAACGTCTGGCAGGACTTTGAAACTCACTGTCATCCCGGTTTTCAGTCTCTGTTAGGTCACCATTATAAGATACATCCTCGTATTCTTCCTCCTCTTCCTCCAACAGGTATTCCCTCGAATGGTGATTTCCAAATTCTCTGGTAGGCCTTACTACGGTTTTGGGCTTTCTTGAAAATGCAAATCCAAAACAACCACAGCAACCCATTTCCGTTGCTTTGGCGATGGGATCTCTCTTCAGAAACATAGCTAACTATTTTCAATCAAACAAACTACGCTCTAGAACACAAAATGAACAAGTTCGACTTGAGAACCGGGAAAGCAGCATGTCATCAAAATTAGTATCTAAACCATCAGGCAAGACACTGAATGAACATCATCAAATAACAGCTTGCAAGCTTAAATTACTAGAAAACTGAAGAAGCTAAGGGTAAGAGTATTTGACCTTATTTACGCGATATGGGCGTCACAAGCCCCAACTGACTAGGCTATTCCAAAGGATGCCATTCAGAAAAATGAAAAAAACAGTTGATCAAGTTGCTACCACTCTGATTCCACCCTGACATCTCAAAAGCTACACCTCACCCCAGCAAAAAAAAAAGTGAAAAAAGAGCAGGACGTTGCAGTCCAATCCAATCCCCAAGCTCCTGCAATCCACAAAAACCCAATTAATGAGCTTTTAGCTTGAAACAAATCAAATCAGGACTGAATACAGACTAATTACTAAAACAATTGAACAAATAAACCAGCGAGAAAGCTAAACAAAAATAAAAACCCAAAAAGCAGCTACTTTTTTTTCAACCTCACTTCAAAATTCACTCAAACGATGACGTCCAAACAACAGCCTGAAGGAAAACCAAGATTGAAGCTTTTTTCATACCGATCTTATTTGAGACCCTTGGAAGAATAAATCAACATAGTTCACAGAATATTTGAGACCCTGTAATACAAACAATTCATATAAAGTCAAACAACAGGCGAAAGTATGGGTGTCCTTTTTAGTTTATATCCACCCCTTTTTAAGACAATCAATCAGAAAAAGAGAAGAAAAAACCAAAGTAAGCATTATAATCCTCCAAAAACATGCAGGCAAGGCAATATGTGATTCAACAATCCACTAAACACCCAACCCCAGAGAGTAAATGAACCCCAGAGGTAAAGTATCACAATCAAGCAAAAAGGGATTGGGAATACCTCGTGAACCAAACCATCATCTTTAATTGAACAGCTCAACTTCTTGAACAACTCATACAATTCTTCTATTTCATTTATGGAAACTGCATAAAAAACAAAAAAGTCCGCGACACCTCAAGTTCAGATTCAGAAGCTCAACTGGGGTTGAACGAAGCACATTAAATTGATCTTTACTAAAAAGGAAACAGCAAAACTTAAAAATGTCAGTCTCGAACTCAAAAAAATAAAAAATAAAAAAATTGCTCTTAGGAGTTTAAAAACCGTTATTCTCATCGTCATGATCCAAAGTCTTCAAAAAAAGTTTTCACTCGGTGTTCAAAATCTCTCCACAGAAGATAATTTTATTTTTTTTTGGAAACGAGAAGATAAGTTAAGCATCTAAAGAAAATCCCATTTTGAAGATTTTAATTTTGCCTGTAGACAGACCCGAGATTTAGCTTCTCAAGGCCTTGGATAAGGAGGGAACCGATCAAGAATGAAATTGACAAATATGCAAAATTTTCCGAATTAATCCGCCCCAGACCCACAAATTCCACGGGAAACTCAAAGACAAGTGAGACTGAAAAACCACAAATATATGTGGGAAGTACATAAATTACATCGGGCAAAGTGGACGCCTTTAGCATATCTCCATCATAAAGGACCTTTCGAAGAAGCTGAGTTGCTGGATTCTTGAAGACGACTCCATAGCGAAGAAGGTGAGTTGCTGGATTGAACTGGGAGGTGACGAAGCTTGGTTTGACTCCGCGGGTTCGATAATGAAACTCCGGCTAGGTTTTCTGCAAAAGAGAGCCTCGATAGACACTCCCATACTTAAGTTAGAAAAAGGTTTAAAGAATATATGCGAATGGTAAGGTTTGTTAGAGATTGTGTACTTCTATTGATCAATCCTATTTATAGGCATGGAATTACTTTGAGGGAAGCCGAATTCATTAGGGTTCTTATTCCCGAACTGCTTTTGCAAGGTCGGTTAGGTCCTAATTGGCGGATGGACCGGTCTGATAATCCTTGGTGGATATGGACTCGTCAAGTGCTCCTGTCAAGTGTTAGTTGTACGAAATAAACAAGACTTGACACAAAATAAAACTGACCTGGACTCGGCCCAATTTTAATAGACAAGTTTCAGCCCAATCTGCATGATATAGACCAGATGAATTACTCGTGGTTCGGGATTTGAACCGAGAAGGCAACCCGCTTTAGAATCCCGCCCAAACTGAAATCGTGCCCAGGCAATGCGCACGTTTCCCAAGCAACAGTCGTGTCATCATTGTTGCCCCTTGAACTCCGCCTAAACTATCAAGTCCTGGGGGAGAGGGACTGCCTTTATTAACGCAAAAAAGTCCTAGAGCCTTTTTCTACTAGTTTCGCCTTCCAAAAAACACTCAGCGAAAAATTTCTCAAAAGTCTCTGTTTTCTTTGCCGCTCTAATACAGACTTCTGCCGGAGCTGCTCACCGTGTTATCAGCAAACCATACTGTCACACCTCCAGCCGACGCCCAGGGACCGCCGTCGTCGGTGACTATCACAAATCTGGGAAGCTACAACTCAAAAGGGGAGTGGAAACCGTTGCCAAAAATACCACAAGTAAGTTCCCAGATCTACAATTTCTCGGTTCCATTTATTCCCTTACATTTTCCTGTGATTGAATAGATTGGGACAAATCTAGGTTGAATCATGGCTAGAAATCTAGAATTGGAAACCGTAGATTACTTTGCCTCCACAATAGTCCGACGAGAAGGTTGGACTAGTAAGAACAAAATATAACCTGCCCCACGATATAGAAATGAGAGCTCTGAGAGAGCCAATACTCCTCCAGAAGGCAAAATCACCATCTACGAACGTTTCATGTTTTTAGGGTTGAGATTTCCCCTTTTTCCTTTATTCGAGGAGATTGTGCACTATTACAAAATCTCACTAGCTCGATTTACCCCTAACCTCATAACGTAGGTCCTCGATTTTATAAAGAAGTGCCAACGAGCCGAGGTGAGACCTAGTCTTATGTTGTGGAGGTACTTTTTTAGAGTCTCGATGCCGTCGACAACCTTTCAGGATTGGTATATGGTGAAGAGATACCTTGCGTCAGACTCTCAAAAGATAGTAGAAGCCTATAGTGGGTCTCCAATTTAGATGCCCAATTTCCTGTATGTAAAGGCCCCTGAAAAGTACTGTATAGCCTGGAATTATCGAGAATCCAAAGGCCTCGAGGTGGTAAAAGATGAGTGGGCGAAAGAGGATAAGGAGAAAATCAAAGAACTTGCCAGCGATTTAGAGAAACTCGAGAGATATCCCAAGATACTAGGATATGGAGCGGTGCAGCGATTCGTTCCTGTCATGCCAATCGAGAGATTAGAAGCTGATGACATCCTCGGTGTCCCCTTCGGAGAAAAGGAAGGTACTAATCTCTTTATCATTTCTGTGTGTTTAGGTCATGTCATCGGGAAACTCAGACGACGACACTTCCAGAATGAAATTAGTGGCAGAAAAGATAAAGGGGAAGAAGAAGAGGAGGGCTATAGCCAGGGAATCCGATAAGGGGTCATTCTTGAAAAGGTCGAAAACCCACACTTCTCCTGACAAGGAGATTGAAGAAACAACACAGACCGAGGAGACTATTCCCCCTGCAACCGAGAAGGAGGCGCGTGCAGAGAAAGAGACCGGACCAAGCACTCGACCAAGTTTCGTCAAGAAGGTAAAAAGACCTACCGAGGGGAATGTAACCATCCTCCAACCGAGGGCCCTGCCGCCTCATTTTACACCCCTGACAATCCTCCTACCATCGAGTGCCTTGTGCTGGAAGAGTTTGCTGCCAGGGCTGACTGAGGCAGATGGATTAAAATTGGTAAACTCCTCAACCCATACTCATTTGCTGACTTCCATATTTTATGATTGAATGTATATCTATTCTGTGTCTGTTTCCACAGATGACCGTAGTCATGATGAACCACGCCAAGAGGTCCAGGGACCTAAGGCGAGAACTAGAAGAAGCCCAAGCTGAGAGAGATCCAGTGGTTACCGAGAAGTGGGCTCTCAAGGAAAGGAATCAACAGCTGCAGGCCAAGGAAGCAGAGCTCGCTTCGGTACAAACTCAGCTTGGGGAATTGAAGCAGAAGTTTCAGGAGTACTGCAACCTGCACATCTCCAAGGAGGACCTTAATAAATGATGTACTGCCTTCTGGTGGAGGATGCTATCATCAGGGGGGATGGCCTTTGTTGTGGAAGAGATTAACACCACCTCGATGGCTTATGGAGGCCACGTGGTTGCCGTCGATGGTTTAAAGAGACTGAAGTAAAAAAAGCCTATCAAGGCAAAGTGGCTGAAGCAGTTTCTGAAGGAAAACCCAAAAAAGACCATGTATGAGGCCTTGGTTCAGGGTCTCTGTAAACTATCCATAGACCAGCTACCCCTGTGGGAGCCCTTATGTGAGGCTCTATCCAAGATGAGCTCGCCTGAGTGCATTACCTCATTTCCTGGAGACGTGGCTCCTGTATTCTCTAGAGGTCGTGGCGAGGAGTTGGCGATACCTGAAGTCTTCGACGAGGATTTTGGAATTGATCTCGAGGAAGACGAAGATGAGACTACTGAGGAGGATGACACGGGCAATTCTGGTGCCAAGGACTGAGACCCCTTACCGTGGGAAATACTGGAGGCGCGGAGGAGGGAAACCCTATGAGCGAGGGATCATCTGAAGACCGACCAGGGAACGACTCTCCTTCCCAGACTGCTGTATGAACTTAATTCCCCTGTAATAGAATTCTTCCTTATTTTGAGAAATTGTTGTATTGCCATTCATTGTGATGAATGTGATCATCTTAAGTATTTGTTGGCAGTTACATGATATCCAATCCTTCTTAACTTGAGCCCATGTCTTGTGCTAGGAATCATACTTTGTACACTAGGTACATCTGATGATTTTGGACGAAAATCAAGCTAAAAATTTTCCGATGTATGCTATGGTTTCTGCAACGATGAGGAAGTTGGGCCATGTCCACAGTGTTTCTGTTGTAAGAGCTCTCGAGAAAGAGATTGTGGATGTCATGCAAGCATACAATGTAAAGATACACTCTTGGCTGGTACAGCAGTTCAAGCAAAAGGAAGAAGAATATCAACGCCGCCTTCCACAGTATGACCTCGATTACCAGGATTCCCTGATCCTGGGGCAAATATAAACGAAGAGATGGAGAACTTAAAGAAGGAGAACGCCCAATTGAAGCGTAGTGAAAGAATCACAGTTTCCCCATGGTTTCTCGAGAAGTTCCACATTCTTTCACTTGTTGAGAAGCAAATCCAAATCAGGACATAGCGCTTTATTGCTGCCATCGAGATGCTGAACAAAAGGACTAAGGAGGCTGAATTTTATTCGAGACAATCCGTTGTCCTACAAAACATACTGGTTGATCGTGAGATTCCGCTTCTCGTCCTCGAGGGTCTAGGTGAACACGAAGAAGCTCGGGAAAGGACGGCAGCCGAAGAATTCCTCCTTAGACTCGACGAGCAAGACTGGGAAATCGTCGATTTGAAGGACAAATTGAATCAATGTATTGACCTTCTTAGGATGCGAGGCTTCTCGGGCGTGATTAAGCCGTCTCGATTTAACCCCAAGCGGGAAGATCTTATTATTTAAGGGTAAACAAATGTATTTATCCCCACTCCGCACAAGATGTGAGGGAAATGTATTTGATTTGAGCTTGATCAACGTCGTTTCTTTTGTACTCGAGTAGTATTTGTATAGCGTTTTCACGGCCGGATGTAAAGTACACGGCACCTTGGGGGAACTGGGTACGAGTTCCTCAACTTATTACCGCGATCTACGGCGTGTACAAGAAGACTTCCTCGGTTTTTGTCCGGATGTTGAATACACGGCTTTGAACGAGGATGGCCCTAAAGAGGGAGTCCATCTCGAAGACTAGTCTCGACTATATGTCGACAATATAAGGAAATATGTAATGACATTTATTGAATAATTACCCGAAGACCCGGGTTAGCATTACATATGAGAAATTAAAAACAGCAGAGCACGTAAGGCAAATAAAGCAGATAACCTAAAATAGCAGGTAGCAGAGAAAGATTTAAACAAAGAACCTGCGAAGGTTCTGAATGTTCCACCATCGAGGGAGGATGGTTTCGCTGTCATCCATGGCTTGTAAGTGGTAGCTACCTGCCGGAGAGGCCTGAATGACCTTGTAAGGTCCTTCCCAATTCGCCGTGAGTTTTCCGGGAATCTCTGTTCGACTGGCTTTGTTTTTTCTTAACACAAGGTCCCCCACCACGAAATCTGTTGCCTTGACCCTCTTGTTGTAGTGTTTACAGAGGATCTCTTTGTATTTCGCCTCTCTGATCCTGACGACATCTCGTGGCTCCTCGAGGAGGTCAAGATTTAGGTTGATGTCATCATCATTAGTGCTCTTGACGAAGTTAATTGTATGAGGACTTGCTAGGCCTATTTCGACTGGGAGAACCGCGTCCATGCCATAGACCAAATTGTAGGGAGTTTCATCTGTCGAGGAGTGGGCGATGGTGCGGTATGACCATAGGACGTGAGGAAATTCCTCAGCCCAAGCACCTTTAGCACCATGTAGTCTGGTTTTGATCCCATGCAAAATGGTTCTGTTGATTGACTCTACTTGACCATTAGTATGAGGGTGAGCTACGCTTGAGAAACGGCGCTCGATTTGCATCTCTTCACACCATGATTTGAAGGGGTTACTCTCAAATTGAGTCCCCATTGTCAGAGACAACGATCCTCAGAACTCCAAAACGGTAGACAATGTTTTGCCAGAAAAACTCAACACCTTCCTTCCTGATATTGAGGCTAACGGCTTAGCTTCTACCCATTTAGTAAAGTAGTCTACTGCTACGATTACCCATCTTACTCCTCCTGGCCATGGACTTTGAATGGTAACTGATATGCTTATATTTTACCTATTTATTACATCCCTAATTTGTGATTTTTGCAATATATTTTGAGTACAAATATGCTATTTATATGATTTTATCTTTATTTGTAGGTTATGGACTCAAATGGAAGAATTATTGAGATTTTGGACTAAATTGAAAAGAAAAAGCAACTCAAAGGGAGAATTGAAGATTTGTTGAATTGACAAGGTAGAAATTGAAGCACTTGGAGAGTTGGAGGAGTTTCAATTTAAATTGGCTTGGAAAAAAAAATAACTTTCTTATTCCTGAACAAATAGGGTTTGAGGAAAGCATATAAAAAGAGTATTAGGGTTTTATTTTTGGAGACAGAGACTAAACCCTACGCCACAAAACCCTTCACCAAAAATCCAAACCCCAGCCAAATCATCATCATCATCCCATCACCACGCAGCCCCCCCAACTCCTCCACGCATCAGCACCTCACCCCCCACACCAGCCGCACACCACATCAACACCTTAATCCTCATCATCAACTCCTTCACCACCCTAAGCCTCCATCACCCAACCTTTCTACGCCACACACCCCCGATGCACCAAGCACCATCACCTCTTCTCCACACCACCATTCGCCACACCAAACCCATGCACATCATCGGAGGAGGAAGCAAGCAACTTCGGACTCAATTTTCGGCCGACTTCTCCCGAGTTTCATTGTTTTATTTATTTTTGAGATGATGTGTATCAAAACTATTTAATCTAGGATTTTGGATGTAGCCGCCGTACTATTTAATTTAATTTAATTCATGATTGTGACTTTTTCATTAGTGGATATTTAATATTCTTGTTTTTATTCCATGTGAGTATTTGATCATCACTTGCATGCGTTAAAGGTGTTTAACTGAAGGGTTCTTAATGAACTCTAATTAAATCCTATAGTCGACAGTAGTTATAGGGATAGTTTGAGTAAGAGAATTATATCACAACAGTGAATATATCTTAAATAGGTGAATCATTATGAGATTAATGAAAGTCCAAAGTCACATATCTATAGGTTGAGTTAAACTGAATAGTCGGTTGGTGAACCCTTTGCCCTAGGTTTTTCTTTTACTTATTTATATCTTTAAATAATTGCAATTGATAGTTTTAAGTTTAGATTAGTTTAAATTGATAAATTGTTAATCTAAATAATAATAAGAAATAATTTTAACCGGTATTTAGTAACCTTCTTTGTGGAATCGACCCTACTTTCTGCTTTACTGCTACTAATTGTATGAAGTAGGTGATTAATTATTTGACTAGTGTGACGATGACTTGTCAGTAACCATCTCATGCTGTGGTTGTCGAGTGATGGGGGAGAAGCGCTGACATTTATCGCATTTTTGTACAAACTGGTACGCGCCCTTAAAGACCGTGGGCCAAAAGTATCCTTAGCGCAAGACTTTTTTGGCGAGTGCTCTTGCTCCCATATGGGCTCCACATGAACCCTCGTGTATCTTCTCGAGGACATAAGCTGCCTGTTTCGGTCCAATGCATCTCAGCATGGGTAGCAGGTACCCGTGCTTAAATAAGACCCCATCTCTCAAGGTGTATTTAACTGCTTTCAACTGAAGTGCTCGAGCATCTGATTTGTTTCTGGGCAGCGTCCCATCGGTCAAATTCGGTAAGAGCCATTACGGGAGCTTTCTGAATACTAGGCGTAGGGAGAATCTCGACCCAAACCTTGTGACTGAGATGTGCAAAATTTGAGGAGGCCAATTTACTCAACACGTCTGCTCTTTTGTTTTCCCATCGTACGACGTGAGAGATGACGCACTCTTCGAACTGATCTTTTAATTCGAGGACCTTCGCAAGGTATCGCCTGAGTTGCTCATCGTGCACCGTATAATTACCTAGGATCTTGATGTGTTCATAATTTACCTATTTATTATATCCTTTCATGTGAGATTTTACTAATATTTTGAGTACAAATATGTTATTTATGTGATTTTATCTTTGATTGTAGGAATTGTACTCAAATGAAGAATTGTTGAAGTTTTGAGCTAAAATCGAATTAAAAGCAACTCAATGGGAAAGAATTGAAGATTGGAGCAATTGATGGGGAAGAAATTAATGAGTTTAGAGAATTGGAGGGCCGATGATACAATTTTGGAATTTTATTTTTAGTTTTTGGAAATTGGCCGAACAAACGATGATGGTGCGGCTGATTTGGGATTGGAATTGGGTAAGAATTTTAATCCCGATATTATTTGGGAAACAAGTTTTCTTCCTCTCCAAAAAGTAGGGTTTTGACGGAAGCCTATAAAAGGAGGATTAGGGATTTATTTTTACAAGAGAACTGAACCGAACTTGACCGAAAAATCGCTGAAACCCTACGAACCGCCGCTGCAACTCACGGCTGCTCCACCTTTCTTCCTTGATCACCACCGCCGAGCTCACGCACCCCCCGAACTTCTCCTCCTTGCTCCCATCCCTGCACATCCCACGCATCATCACCATCTCAATCCATCATCATCACCCTTAATCCCCATCATCAACACCCGCAGCACCACCGCAGGAACCAAGCATCACCGAAGCCTCCTTCATCTCTGTCCACGCATCAGCAGGAGCCCAAGGACAAGAAGAATTCGAACCTGGAAGAACCAAGCAAGCAGCACCCTTGATTTGATCATTAGTTTTGGTCACTTCGGCGGAAATCTACCGGGTTCACTTCGGCGGAATTTTGGATTATGAATATTATTATTATTG